TGTTATGATAACAAATAAATATATTTGCTTGACATTTCCTTCTCTTTGTAGCTTTTGAGTTTTAGGAGGCAAATATTTTATCTCAATCCTTTAGGGACATTATTTACTAATTTACTAGTGAGTCTTTGTAATTTGCTGTTTAAAGAGGAGTAATTTGGTTTTGCTTACTTTCCTTCCTTTTCCTTAACTTGATGATCCTGAAGCCCCTTATGAACACAGAAAGAGCTGACATGAGGAGCAATTCCATGCTGGAAAAGTCTGCTAACAATATGAGGAAAACTAACACGCCTAAGTTCAAGTGGAGAAACATCATTTTGCATTTAAAGGTTTTCTAGCTTATCCCTCACTAACATGATAAAATGAATAAAATTATACTTGTCTCCTCTTTTACCTGAAAATCCACAATTAAGAAAGCAAAACAAGATGGGGCACATGCAGGAAGAGCACAACCTAAGAGAATCTGAAATCCTCGATGCAATGAAGGCCTCTAAGGAGCTCAAATGTGTTGGTGGTGGTCAGGATTTCCCACCAGATAAAAACGTGTCTGATGAAATCACAATGCAAATTGGTTGTGAAATTCATGTGTAAGTTTTTAATATTTAGCAGGATTGGTCTTTACAATTGCATATTTGTGAAAAACACAAGCCACGGCATTTCCTTCTAATTATCATTGTAGGTATGCAATGGCCACATCTTAAGATGTCACAATTTTTAGGGTGAAAATTGATGGCCTCCCATTTGTTTCTGTATGAACAAATGTATCCCTCCTCCAGAATTTTGTTGACATGAGAACACTCAATAACTGGTTGTGAAGGATAAAAAAATATACCAATACACATTCTTGCTACATGCACTTCTTAATAAGACATACTAGATTCAAGGTCTTCATGTGGTTGATATGTAACACAGCTGAATGTTCTGTGTGCATATAGTTTTTTAAGCCCTTAAATTTGTTTGTTTACTGTAAAAAGTATTTCATAAATGTAAAGTATGTTGCAGTTGTTTCAATGATTCATCAGACTCTAAACATTTCAAAAGCAAGTAGAATGTGGGGTTCCCCCAGTTTGATTTTTTTAAATGACTCTATAGAATCTTTATAACCTGAAACACAATACAATTGAAATTTAATGTCTTTGATTCAAATATTTTAACATTGTTTTAAACAAATGAAATAAAACAATATTTCATATTGTTTCATTGAATACTAAAAAAAGTTAGACTTTATGCGATCCTGACCAAAACAAATTGTAAATTGAAGAATTGATGCTAGTCTGCATGGGTTTAAAGAAACATATTGGTATTGATTTGTCAAAACAGCAATTATAAACAAAATGCAATAAGTATACTGCTTTTTGTGTGCTCAAAGTTATGATTATTTTGAACTTTAATGTGAAACTGTCAACTGAGAATTCATTCAACCTTAGAGTGTTTATTTTTAAAAGTTTGAGTTTTGCCAGATATAGTAATACCGTCAAGTTGAGTAAGCTGAGGCAGGAAGATTGTGTGTCCAATGATACCCTGTGCCTTATGGCAGTACTGTTTCCTCAAAACAAACAAACAAAAAAATTTGAGATGCAAATACTTGACAGCATCAATGTGTAGCTTTTATGTACCAAATGAGTATGTGTACTACTTCTGTAACTGAAGGACATAATGAAGTTTTCATGCCTGGCTTGCAGAGGCTTTGCTCTGCTATTGAAAAACTCTCACATTTCCTTTAAGACAAATGTTAAGCAAAGTTTGACTTTTGATTGTCAAGTTTTAGAATGTAGTGTTTGTTGGCCATCCCTTCTTCATCACCTGACCTTGGTAAATTTACCTTAAATATAACCATGATAATAGCCATATTACACCATGGAATCATCTTGTTATAATACCAATCTTATTTATAGATTGATACATAGGTTCCAACTTTCATAAGATTTTTGTAAGATAGCTCTATAGGCATGAATTACATAAAGAGCAGTGTTTAATGAACGTATAAATTGATCAATCAAAATCTGGATTAGAATGAATGGATAACAAGGTGTTTGACTGAAAATAAAAAAAACAAAGATGAAATAGACCTTAGGGAATGGATGACATCAAGTGACCCCTCTTATCTGCAAGTTAGGAACTTTCACAAAATGTATGTCTAACTCATTTCCAACAATACCAGGTGTTTCTTTTCACATGGTTCTTTCATTGGCAACAACACACGTGCAATCAATACAGGTATTCATGACAAGCAATCATCAAAGGGCAAGAAGCTTGCTCTCTGTTTACCAATTCATGTGGTCATTTTGTTACTGATTTCACTGCGGTGCCTGACATTAGCTCATAGAGCTCCGTGCCAACAACACTCTGCCCTTACTAGAGTTCAGTTTTACCACAGGTCAAAGACATTATTAGAAGTATTCTTAATTGTCTTAAAAATGCCATTTCAGACAATTATATACTTTAGAGACAGTAATCATTTACACTCATTCTTTAATTGTAATTTTAAAAGAAAAACTAACATAATTCAGTGTTAGATTTTGTTAGTTTGGCAAAGAAAGAGAATTAACTGAAAATGTCTGAGAAAACGTTACCATTCCTTTTTCGGTGAAGGTCTCATGCCATCCCATGAGGCGATCACTTGGCATTTGTCAAAGTGAACAAAGATAGGGATACCAAAATAACCACTCCAATTTAATATTTATATTTACTTATATTGTGCGTGTAATCACAACAGGAAACAGATGAGTAAAAGGAAAGAGTAGATCTCAAGGAGGGAATTTCTTCCTTTTACCCTCAGTATTTCTTTAAAAGGGAAAGAATGGGAAAAAAAGGAAGAGATAAAGCTTATTTGAAAGCTTCATTTTCAAGGCCTATTGAGTATTTATAAAATTGAGAACAGCCTAGAAACCTTGGACTGGTCTTGCCTGGAATGAGGACTGAATTTCTGAAGACAAGATATAAAGCACGTAGACATGCTATCCCATTGAAAACACTGTACTGAAGCTATACAACTGAATAATAATAAAAAGTATTATTTATATATAAAATGTTTCCCAGATACCAAAAGACCAAATAAAAATCCCACCCCACCTGCTGTGTTCCTATGTATACAATATACTCATTTGAGAAATGTTTCTTAGCACTTAATCTCAGGTTCACAGGGCTGGAATCAGAGATCACCCCACACCCTCACCCTCACACACACATTAGGGACCTGTTATCTCCTATAGCACCATATGGCAAGATAGGTGTTGGGTGATGGCTGCAAGTACTGAATGTATTCTGGTAAAGAGCTGGTTACTGGCAACCTCGGCTTTGGGCACCAGGACCCTTCAAAAATTGTAGCTATTCTTTTCACAACTGAGGGAATATTCTGAAGTCCGTATGGCCTGCCTACTCTTTTTGGTCAGTGTGTTATCTGACTACTTTGAAATCCTGAGAGCAGTACCCTTCTATGCCTCTTCTTTTGTTACTTAAAAGTGATGTGAATCATTGAATGTGTGGTAAATTGACCTTAATTCACAGCAAGGTAGGTACTGCAGTAGTCTGAAAGAGAGTGTTTAATATACATAGGAAGAAAAATAAACCAGTTGCTGCCTCTCCAACATCATTTCTACTCTACCTTAGGAACACAGATAGGTCAACAACAGCATTCCACAATAGCTACCAGTATTTAAAATGTTGTGTTATATATAAAAAATACCAGAACATGACTCAAAGCAATAATAATAATAGTAATAATAGTAATAATGGGTGATGGTCAGCCTCCAGTTAATGATGTATATGTTGCTTTTTAATTACTAATATCTGTTCCTGTCATAAAGATGAGGAAAATGAAGCAAATTCAAAGATACTGTGTAGAAGTTAGCATGTCCTACTTAGCACATGAGCTTTAGAAAGAAAGCAGTGATGGCTGAGGTATCTGCCAGGTCAGGTTACCTTAGAGGGTCTCAGTGCTTTCTGCACTTGGCACTTGTCAGCTGGTGATCTAGGACGTGCCCTTTGAACTTAGATACCTTGCAGTAGTTCTTCCTGTTCCAAGAGGAAACAAAGGCCATGGAAACTACCACAAACATCTGGTTCTGTGGAGAATTTTGTCTTGAACATTAAAAAAGTAACGATAGTTATGAACTTCCCATAACATAGCCATGATGTGCCTGATACTAACTATCTTCAGAGTGTAGAAAAAGGCTTGTAGCATGATTATATGATATACAATCCCTCATAATTACATGATATACAGTAAGCTGTTATAGTGAGACTTAAGTTATATTAATCATACGTTGTTTTGATTTTTGTTTTTTGTTGTTTTTATTTATGTTTTTGTAAAGGATATTTAAATAACTTCAGTTGCTCACAGTACCTGTCTTCTTAGTTATATGAATGGAATCTTTAGATAAACAATATGTAACATTTTAAGAACAAAAAAAGAAAAAACAAAAAAAATAAAAATAATTAAAAAAAACCCACAAAGTTGACTTCAACACACCAGTGTGGCCTCACCGTTGTTTGATACTTGGGGTAAATAACACAACAGTGCTCAACCAGATGCTCAACTTTCAAGATTTTATACACTACAAACATCTTCTACGTTTTCTTAAATAGAAAATATTTTCAAGTAAAAACTAAGTTGAGGAAGAAGATATTACAAAATCTATATTTTTGGAAACTATAATAATGTTACTGCTCTAGTCAAAACAACCAAACTATAATGGCTACTAATGATGTCACACAAATTTTATCAGATATAATGTAGGTTTCCATCAATGTGTTTTCAACATACAAGACCTTGGATTCCTATTCAGCAGTTTTGATTAGATTTTTTTAATACTCTTTCTTTCCTTATGTGGCATTTTATCTGTTATCAATGAAATGTTCACAGATAACAATTTGCAATATATTTAACAAATAACTTACCTCAAGAAAGAATTGTATGTATTCTCTGCTTGTGACAGAAACCAATGAAATTTTAAAGAAGCTTTTCCAAAACTAAAGTAAAAGCAATCTTTTATGTACTTTCAAATACTGTGCCTTTTTATTTAAACAGTGTAAACATAACAACACCACCAATAATTGGATAAAGACTGGGAATGTGAACACTAGTTTCCTTGAATGCCCCATGAAAATAGGGAAAATAAAACAGACACATCTTCAGGAGAGGTTTTCAGTTCACCTTAGCAGTGGTAAAAATATTGCTTTATTCCAAATGAACATACAACACAATTTACTATTTGGGGGCATTGCTTGTGAACTGAGTAGTCTGGGATTTGTGGTTTTCAACAATTTATTCCTTCCACATTAACCACAGAAGCCAATGCCTCTGTCTACACAGAGCAGACTTGCTGTAAAATAGCAATGAGGATGATAAACAAAATGGTCAACTGTCAATTTGTTAATTGGCTTGTATTAGTAATTTAAGTAAATGATTAAAAATAAACACATCCTCCACTAATTTGCTTTGTGATGCTGATATCAATAAGCCACAGGCTATCTTTTTCAATTGTCATCACATCAGAAAATGGTCTAGACATTGTCAAGAGTTTTATAAGACCCCACCATGCAAGTTAACTTGGTTCAAGAAGTCACTAACCAAATTTATATTTAATGGAAAATTTAAAGTGAAAAAGATCTAAGAGGGGAAAATCTCTTCTGAATATTAGATTCCCTGATGTTTCAGAACAAATTTTAGCAAGCTTTAATACACACACACATGCACACACATACGTACAAGAAATATGTGTGCATACAACATATGTGCTTGGGTAAGCAAGCCAAGCACTTGCACCCTCACACCTGTGCACACAGGTACACACACACACACACACACACACACACTGAAAGGTGCCCTTTCAGAGCTTTTTAACACTCCCCAAGAAAAACATTTTTAGCATGAATTTTTTTGACACAACATTGTCATTTTGTCTCTTTTCCTATAATAATTTCCCACCTCTCTTGAGGGTCTGTGCTTTCAAATTACAGAGAAAGATGGCACATAGAGTAGCTAAGATTGCCCAGATTACTCCTATTTTCTGTCTTCCTTACGGCTTATGTTTTCCTGCCATTCTCTAAAAACCAAATACAAAGCACTACATTCCTTGACATGACATAATCTGTGGTGTGAGCATTGATGAATAGAAATTTAGGGGTTGTAACTCAAGAGTCAAATGGCCAGGACTACCTTCTCACTAGCACATCTGCTCTTGGGATAAACCTCTTCTCTTTGAAGCTAGGTGAACAAGAGTTTCTCTTCCATATAGATACTGGTACTATGGGACCAAAGGTTGTAATTGGCCAAATCTTCCAACAGCCAAAGAGAACAGTGTAGGGGCTAACTGAAATTGGATTCAGAATTCTCCCCAAAAGCTTTAGTGGTAAGCTTTATCCCTCCTGAAACGTTTCTTTCCCTTTAAAAAAATATTTTGTTAAAAAACACTATGATATGAGGGCGGCAGACTATTTGGTTTCTTCTAAGTAGATGCTCTTAAATTAATGCATATAAATAATTTGTATTGAATTTCCTCTCTTTCCTGTTGAGCAAAGCATAGAATGCACAGATTCCTACATCTTGAGTCACTTGGTTAACACAGAGTCTCTTTGTATTTCATTTCTTAAGACAAATTGTGCCTCTCTTTCTGATTTGGCCGTGGGACTCAGGGGGAGAAAGGCTGTGTTTTCGCTCGCACTGTCCTCAGTTTCCACACTCGCCAGTTCATAGTCTTCTGACCGTCTGGCATCAGTCAGAATCCGGATCTGTTCCTGCACAGTCTCTAGTAATATCTTCACTTCCTGTTGTTCTTCTAGAAGACGATCACTGACTGGAATACTCCCCTTGACAATGTCAGCGGAGTAGGAGTTTTTGCACCATTTAATGCTTTTGACTTCAGAAATTCCTGGCATTTGCATGCAGGTTTCTTCTAGACCCATCGAAGGGATGATGGGCACAGAATTGGCCCTTGGGGATGAATAACCCACTAGGTCCTTTTGATCCAAACTATTAAAATAAGGGTTTGTTTCTCTTGAAGGCAGTTGCATATTTATTGATGCATTTTGTTGGGTTCTTAAGCCATTAGATGCATACCTGAAAAAGATGAAAAGAATGATAGTCACGCTCCTGTGCCTATGAGGGCCGTCTTTCCACATGCACCATCTCACTGACTTCTCACAATAACCCCATGAAACGGATACTACGCTCCCACGGACAGAGAAGTAAATTGAAATTCAGATCAGTGAAGTGACTTGCCCAAGGTCACACAGAAAAATAAGTGACAGACTTAGACTCAAACCCAGATCTTCTTACTTTAAGTCCAGGGGTCTTTCAACACACCACAGCTGTATAGGCAGGTGGGATATAGTCTTCCTGACCTCTATCCTAGAATACAAATAAATGGGGATTGAGCACGTAAGTGTGGCCTTTTTCATCGTGACAAACAGGACACTACCATGGCATCTCTTTGCTCATCACTCATCCACCCTCTCAGCCCTGGGACTGTCTAGTAGACTAAGGTTGTCACCATGATTGCTGGCTGTCAGGAAACTTATTTTGACCATCAAGATACTCTAGTCCTCAAAGCTTCTGCCTTACTCATAGAATATAAATCAGACTTCTGCTGGCACTTTGCCCTGTACAGATTACCTTGCTGGCCCATTGCTGAACCAGAGGACAAAAGCAGATCCATCTAATCCTTCTGCCTGCCCAGCAGAAACACCAACTGTGTTCCAGAGGATCCTCTCAATCCAGTGCTGTTCCTTCGTGTTCCATAAGTGAAAGAGGGTGGGCACTGGTGGGCAGCAATGGCTTGTCCCAACCCCAGTGTGCAAATTCAAGTAACTTAAGGATCCCAGGATTCGAATTTTGAAGGGCTCAGGGCTGCTGACTTTCCTCCTTTCTTGTGTCAGGAAGGAAACAAGTATATGAGATTTTATGGAAAGGTGTTTGGGGGCCCTGAATGGTAGATTTTTTTTCTACTTTTCATGAGTTATTCTTAAATACTAAATGTTACTATGTAAGCATGACTTAAAACATATCTAATTTCGATGTAAGGGATTTAATTTCCATGGCTTCCATTGCAATATAAATAATTGTTTTTACACATGTAAGGAATAGTTGCAATGAAATGTATTGCATAGCTACAAAGAAGTTTCTACTGTGACGTCACAATAGGAACAGTTTCACCAGAATTAGTAAAGAGGGGTGAATAGTAGTCGTGTCTTTTCTCACTGTATCCAGAATATAACCCTGATCTAATGAACACATAAAGAATGAATATGTGTCCAAGGAAAGTATTCTTTTATAGTTCATTAACTAATACCAGAATTAACAGCTAATATTTACACAGTGACTTGAAAAAGTTATTTCACCTCTAATTACTCCACAAAAAATATTTTAATATATTATTCTTATGTAAGAATTTCAAAGAGCATTCATATGCCCTGCCCCAAGTTATACCTTTACATAAGAGACAGAAGGAAGACTCAAACCCAACTGTCTAATTGTTACTATAAAATTCAGAACCAACTAATGAAGAGACATCTTAAGGTAAACTACACTAGAACATCTTTTAGGGAGCTTAATTTGATACAGCCATGCATAAGAAAATTCCTTGTGGATCTTATGACAGAAAATCAGATTTAGCCAGGCATGGTGTCACATGCCTGTAATCCCAGTACTCGGGGAGAGAGAGGAAGGCAGATCTCTGCTTGAGGTCAGCATGGTCTATAATGTAAGTACAGGACAGGCAAAGCTACACAGAGAATCTCTGTCTCTAGAAACCAAAATAGAAAGAAAGAAAGAAAGAAAGAAAGAAAGAAAGAAAGAAAGAAAGAAAGAAAGAAAGAAAGAAAGAAAGAAAGAGAAAGGAAGGAAGGAAAGAAGGAAGGAAGGAAGGAAGGAAGGAAGGAAGGAAGGAAGGAAGGAAGGAAGGAAGGAAGGAAGGAAGTCAGATTCTAAAGGTCTGATCCATAAAGCAAACCTAAGGCCCATTTGTTTAGCCCTTGGTACGATACTTCCAGAATATATGAGTATAGAGAATATATACCTCCCTTTTCTGGTTTGGTGATTGATTTGGTCAGAAAACTAATACACAATTTCACCTTTTCTCATGGGATGACTAATGCCACTCTATCCCTATCCTCAATGTATTCACCAAGAATATTTTCAAGGAATATCAAAAGTAAGATGCATCAGGTTACAAACTAGATGAAGTGGGAACTCATGACTTTTTTGAGGATTTCTGAAACATTTCTTTTGATTAGCCTGTAATATATCAGTCTATTGGCCTGCCATGGACCAGTGCAGTGCTTGGGCTTTCTTACCACTGCTGGTACTGATGAGAACTCTAGTCAGAGGAAAGTAACCTCAGTCTACATCTTCCCTATTCTAAGTCCTTCTGTACTAGGGTAGGTGATGGTGTCAAGCTGGGTACAATTTCCAACCGAGGAGAGAATCCACATACATGAACCCTATTTAGCAGACTACAACCACATGTTTGGTAAACAGGAACAGATGGCTGATGGCTCTTACAAATTCATTCACTCCCCTTTCAGGCTTAGGGCAGATTTGAAGAATGTTAGCTGTGAAATTCTATTACCAGCCCCATTCCCAGTCCTGAGAGACAGTTGGTCACCCAGGAGTAGAAAATTGCTGTTTTTAAGAATTGGTGATGAGAAGGATCCCTAAGATTAATTGTGCTGAAGCCAGAGTGACTGACAGAGTCAACATGTATCAACAGTGGATGCATTTGGCACAGGGGAAATGCGTGTGGACAGCCAGCTGCAGATATTATTGCCAATCCAGCGCCACTGAGCCAACACAAACGTAAAACCACACAGGCCCAGGAGGAAGAAGACAGGACAGAAAATGAAAACCTCTGAACTCTGGGAGGTCTGTGAATTTGTGATTCAAACCACAACCTGCTACAGGCTCTCAACATCCTTCTATCAGGAATACTTGGGGTGAGAGCCAGAGTGGCAGCTGAAAGGAAAGAAATTACAGGCCAAGATGGGTTTTCTAGATACTCACATATTCTAATATTCACCATAGGGAAAGAAAGGGTGTATACACGTACAAAGTCCTATGAAAAAACATTGGTTACTGATAAAGTAGTTATGAAACAAAGTCAGTATAGGTATAGGGTAAATGTAAAGCTCCTTTCTGAGGTAAGGCCAAGCAAAACACCACCAGCTTCTTCAGTTGCATCACACACTGAACCTTTGAACAACTGAGCTGCCCTGTCTCCTTGCATTCTATCTTCTAGCATGCTTTTTTTTTTTTTTTTTTTTTTTAAGAAACACATGTCAAGCTTAATCAGACAGGGCATCGGTCCATCTATTTCATGTCTAGAAGAAAAGAGAAATGTAAATGCTATGAGCTGGACATTCTACCTGCTATGTTATTAGAATTAAAACAAACAATCTGAAATAATCACCCAAACTGCACAGAAACCCAGCCTGGCTCACTCAGAAACTTCTAGACACAACTAGAAACTTATGTGGAGTAAATCTAGATTCTTTAAATTAATGATAGCACTATGAGAATTGCTATGGCAAACATTGTCTCTGTGAATATCATGTGCCTGACCCACATGGGCCAAAAAAATACTTCTTTTTTGATCTGATCAGTAACCTTTGCTCCTAGGAAGTCTAGACTCAGATGACAATGTTTTCTGAAATTGACACAAGTTGTAAGGGATAGGGATCAAACTTTAATCATACGTTATTCCATGTATGCTTGAGTAGTTTACACCAAGAGCATAGTTGTGATTAGAGCCTACCTTCCATTTCCATTCTCTGACTTAAGCCCTATCTGTGTTATTGCATCCTGGAGAACACGGTGCTTTTGTATTGTATACAATAGCCATGGTAACCATAGTCACTGATACCTGCATAGCACAAATAATGAAGATACCTGACTTCTGAAAATTTTTCCATGGCTTTCTACTTTTGATATTCACCTAAACCCCACATTCAAGAATACTGGGTGGAAGTATTCAAGATACCTCATTTATGTTATACATTATCTTTTTAGAATTTTTGTCCATACTACTGATCAGAAATTAATATTTTTTTTCTAAATTATTGATAAAAAGATAGTTTAGTCCTTCAAAGCTTCCAAGAAAGCTTTTTTAAAAACAAGTATATACTAACTTAGTGTCAGACTTCTAATTGTCTCCTATGTTAGACCCTTGCTTTAAGACCTACCCTTGGCAGGGTATCGTATCCTGGTCTGGGATTCTTGATTCTTCCAGTTGTTGATACGCTGGTCCTACAACCCCACCGAGTCGACTTCGGGGTGAAGGTGGTGTCCTTCTGAAAGTATTCCTATGTAGCATCCCACTCCTCTGTCCTGGGCTACAGCAAGAAGAAATACTCCTGCTGGGTTGGGGAAACAAAACAAAAACAACAAACCAAAGAGATCATAAAAACCTGCTAAAACATCACAGACATGGAATTCATCCCTCTCATACTTAAAGTTCTGTGCTTTGAATGCCAAATATACACTCAGATAAAATTAGAAGTTTTTAATTCATTTTTATGGGAGGTACTGAGAGAGAATCCCTCTTGTCTCTGGCTTTATAGCTAAGACAGAAGTGTGTTTAAGGAAGCCTCAATACCCCAATTCCCCTCCACCCAGATTTCCCAAGCCACAGTAGCTGTCTTTCTAATTGGCATAAAAATGCCCTCATTAGGCAGTGATGAGAACAGAATTTAGGAAGCCCAGAGGGAATTTATGAGGAAATTTCCATTTCTTAGTGATAGGATAAACAGATCTTACTTTAATTGGCATTCTTTCTTTCACAAATGTGTTAAATTCTCAGTTTACTGTTCCAGATTTTTATCAGTCCTGAGAAACTAGTTTTGCATTTGAGTTTGCTTTTAATAAGTCCCTGCTTTTAATTTGTTGAGTGTGTGCCTCCAAATGTCTCAAATGACTGAACAAATGTAGAGGCCATCAAGTGCAAAAGGCATAAGTGACCTGTATCCCAGGCCTTAACAAAGTAATCCCTTAAACAGACTATTTTTAAAAGACTGGATTCTATGGAGATAAATTGCCAGTTGACTGGAAGATTCCTTATCAATTCCTTTCTCAACCCTATTGAGTTGCCTAGGTTCAAACTTAAGTGTTCCCTGAGATGTCAGGTCATGTGGGCCAAACTCTTCTTCCGTGAGTATATAGTGAGCTAATATATATGTTGTACCCACACTGTCTAAAAATATTATCACTGCAGTTATATAGGCCAGGAGACTATAATGTTATCATTAAATGCTTTTCATCTAGGGTCGGAACCTCACTCAAATACGCCAGAAGCTAGAGGAGAGGGAAGTCTGAATCTCACCTGGTGCGTAAGGTTTTGCAGAACAAAGTGTCTTGAGTGAGGTTATGGGAGGGAAGCGGCCAAAGCAAGATGACAGCATCACCCTCAGGTAATTTTGTGGGCTTACACCAGAGGTGAAAGGGTTCAAATACACTAAGTGTTGTATTTCAGGCCAACACCTGTGAAGCACACATTACCAAGTGTTCTATGAATTGCTGTGCCGTAACTGGCAATGCAAAGGCTCATCTGTGTCACTGGATTCTCTGGGCTCCTGTCACGGTTGATAGTCTAGACTGATGTCATTGTAAGCAAGTTAGATTGCCAAAATATAATGCAATAAAAATGACATGCAGCGATAGATTTTTTTCAACAAGTAGGTTTTTCACTAAACATTAGAAATAACAGTTTTGTATTAATGGCTTTGTTTCATATTAAGACATCCAAGGGAGTCATATTTTCAGTGCACAACAAGAAATTAATTATTCATAGCTTGCTGGACTGTCAAAACAAGGTCTCCCAGTGTGAAGGAATGGCCCATCTCCACAAGCAGCTGTAGACCTATTGATCAATCAGCAATTCAGGCCTTCTAAGCCAGGGGCATTCAAGAAGTTATACAGCAGTTGGAAGGAAATATAAATCACCAAACTGGTTATCAATCATGAAACTATTTAATCTATTGCATGTTTTAAAAACAAAGGCTATGATGTATTAAATTATAATTTCAAGTTCTAAAAGCTCTTTATAAATCAACTCTGCTCTAGCTATCAGCATATAGGCTATGACAACAGATACTGCAATGCCATTAAATCAAAGCAGAAAAAAAAAGAAAGAAAGAAAAGAGAAGGCCCTTTAAAGACACTCTCATTTAATCTTGGAGTTCTAGAAACCACGGTCAAGCCTAAGAATGGGAGACTGAAAAAAGCTAACTGGCTATCTAGAAACTTCAGTACTGTAGTTCCCACATGGCAGAAGCCATCATTTAAAAATCTCAAATTCAAAATGTTTTTGCCATAATATGCTACAGAGTAACATTATACTATTTTATCTGACAAAGTAACCATGATAACTATGGTAACATATTTTAGAATAAGCCTGGGAAACTAGTTTTGCCTTTGAAAGTCTAGCAATTTTGCACTTCCCTAGAGGATAATGAATGCAGCCTTTGTGAGCCCAAGTGAAGTAAACGACTGTTTTCATAGAAATTCTGTAAATACAAGCTATGACATATCACAGTCTTGCTGATAATAACTAATGCAAACTATTGAGATGCCAAACTATTTTGATCCTAAGCTGAAGATTCTGAAAGGATTTTCTTTGTGAAACCATTGGTACTCTAGAATCTATCTATTACAAAGGTATGAGGAAAAGCATCACCCTCAACTGCTGGGGTATCAGGTGATCACTGTTAGAGCAACTGAAAATCTCATAGGAAATACAGCCAGGAAAGTAAAGAATATGGGTTAGGAGAGGAGGAAGTCATCTCTTTTATGGTATGTTTTTGTCTTGCTAATGAACAAGGTATTGAGAAGAAACATGAAAACATGTCAGTGACATCTTCTATTGCTAGATATAATTAGTTCAGCTTTAAAATTACATATGTGATTATTAGAATAAATTTGAAATGATTTTAAAAGATTAAATTAACATATATATGTATGATATTAAAAGATTTAAAAATGCTTATCACTAGGAAAAGGTGATGTTTAGGTTTTCTACAGATTAAAGACATTAATTTTAATACATAGAAACATATCGACTCTGGTATTAGTCCTAAATTCATCCCTTGTTTGGGACTGTATATGATGGATTTTTAAAAAATAGATTCTTCATGCACAAAACACAAAATGTGGATAAAAAGATGTTGGAGAACATGCCCAGCTGGAGAATTTCCTGGAAAGCATCAAATGACTTAGTAGTTACCCTTTGCCCTCAAATAAATAGTTTCTGTGATGAGCTTTCTCTCTCTCTCTCCTTTCTCTCTCTCTCTCTCTCTCTCTCTAACACACACACACACACACACACACACACACACACACACACACACACAGATAACACTCCTCAGATAACAGAATATCATAGAGGCCCAAACAGAGTACTCTCCAGGATTTGCCCCTGGAACTTTTGTGAGGAGTATTCGGAACATTTGGTGCATGTTACATCAGCTGCCTAGAGGATATTTAGATGTCAGCTTTGCAGGCTAAAGAAAAAAAAAATACACTTTTAATGTTTTTTCAGAGTTCAATTGTTTCGTATACTGGTCTGTGCCTGCAGCTCTGATGCAAGCTAATAGTTCCTTTATGTTACTGTAAGGAGAGTGGTGCTTCTGAAGGAAGCTGCAGAGTGTGGTTTCTGGCTGTGGGCTGCCTGAACATCAATTCTACGGAGATCCATGGTTACAGACGCAAGAACAATCACCTGTATGGACTATGGGTCTAGTTGCCATTTCCTGCCTTGTGCATTTTTCTAACATGAACTTACCCACTCCCACCACCATCAGCTAACCATACCTGTGGTGCTTGACAAGATGGCTTCCTCTGTCAGGAGAGGCGACCTCAGGGAATGACTGGGGACCTGCAAAACTTGACTCCATTATTTTCTCCAGCGCAATAGCAGGATGTCTGTCCGCCTTTGAATACTGTAGGAAATTACATGCAGAGTTGTGAGCTGTGGGTACATTATGAGAGGGGGTCCAGCAATACAGGAGCTAGTCTCTGGAAAGTCCCAGAAGAATGATAGAAATGACTGTATGCATCTCATTTCTTTCTCTCTCTCTCTCTCTCTCTCTCTCTCTCTCTTTCTCTCTACAAAGAAATGTTATGACCTAAGGGGGAAAAAAGTACAAAAATAAAGCTTGATATGGTATAGAAATTCCTTCTAGAAATCTCAGTTTTAGATCACGAGTAAAATAAAGAGCAAATAATTTCAAATTAGCTGAAGGTGAGAAAGATTAAAAACAAAACAAGCAAGAATTAATTTTATTTATTTTGGTGCTGAGGACTGAACCTTGGTCCTTGCTCATTCTTCACCATTGCACTGCACCCCTCAGTTATAGACCAGGACATAGAAATAAGCTGTCACTCTGGTTGCTGAAAGTAAGGAGTTATAAATGCTGATTAATTATTTACACAGATACAGAAGTGCTATGACCAGAATATAAGAAATGTCTAGAAACCAGAAAAAAGAAAAATGAAAGAAAGTATTATTGGAGCAAGAGAAACCGTGAAGCACATATATAACAAGAAAGAATGGTTCATTGCAGAGGAAAATTGCTGTGATGAATGTGAAAACCTCAATTCACACACCAACACTAACTTGAGCCATCCGACTTCTGAAGGAGCATATTTATAATCAACGGAGGACAGATCATGAGGCAGGTGCGTTACTTGCCCTTAATCCTAGTACTTGACAAATTGAGGCAGGGGCATGATGAATTTGAGGGCATCATAAGCTGCATAGTAAGATGGACTCTCAAAAACAAAACAAGCAACAGTACAAAAATCATCCAAGATGGACAAGATATTTCTTAAAAATTATAGGGTTAAAAATGTATAACAGTAATAATATCAAGTAAAATGCAATTTTGTACTTCTACACAAAATTACTTTTAAAGATGGATATTTCATATAAAGAAAAAAACTACTCAACAAGTAATAAATATTTATAAATTTTTTTTACTTTAAAACAGCTTCAAAAGTACACAGCATGGCTAATAGCACAGCATGAAACCCTGGAGGAATTTGGGCATGTTGACAGCTTTTATTACATGGTAAACAAATACATGTAGCATTGAATCTGAAGGAAAAGCTTAGGATTCAGCAGGAGGTAGAGGGACAACTGTTATTCATGAAAATAAAGTAAACTTGCTTTCTAGGTTTTTTTTTAAAGCCTTTTCAAATGACTACATGTAAACAAAATCATGAACATATTAGAGAAACAAACTGGTGTTTTAAAAGGCTTTCGTAATAAACCAAATATTACTAAAGATTTGGGTAACTTAATCATGATAGAAAATTAATGGAGAACATAGTAAACAGATTTTGTAAACTCAGAGAATCTGTGTAGCAATGAGCACAATTAGGTATAACAGTAAAACATAAAATCCATGGAGCTTTCAGATTGGAATGAATGAACTCTCTGGATGAATTATTATACATACATACATACATACATACATATATATATATATACATATACATATACATATACATATACATATACATATACATATACATATACATATACATATACATATACATATACATATACATATACATATATATGTGAAATTTGTTCATAGCCTTAAGGAACATGCATTTCACTAGGTCACAACATTCAGAAATTAAAGCAGGAAAATATTTCTTATTTAATAACTACCACCAATTACCTTAAGTGAAAAAAATTATTTTTATGAAATGAAGGAATACATATAAACCTGGAAAAATATTTGCTAGCTCCACCAGAAAATGTATAAGACTGAAAAACTGTCCAGAACCCAAACAGAAAAAAATGTGGAGGGTAGAGTGTGCATGTTCCCCCAATTTGTAATCGATTTAGAATGCAAATTAAGGTTTATTTTAGAGGGACATCTTGAGGCCAGCATCAGCCAACTTTTTCTGAAGAATCTTAATTTTCTAGATAAATTGTTGTAAGCAACTTACTCCATTTTGTAAAACCAAGATATTTCCAGGAAGACTCTTGAGACATTAGTGCAGTTTTCATGAATTCTGAAATGGAGGCTCTGTCCATAGTTCTGACTGAAACCCACCTATTAACTTGTTTTGCCTGTGGCTAGTATTTATAAAATACACTTTCTAAACCTTTTTAAGTGTTCAGGGTATTGTTAGATTACAGCTGTTTTCATTCATGACATTTGGTTCAGTAAGTACAAATTTCTTTCCCAAATGTTATTTTTAGAGTGGTTTTCTCTCTTGGTATTTTGTATTTAGCCTGCCATGCCAGTACTCCTCTGGATAGATGGGAGGTGAAGAAAGTGATATCTCTGCAAATATATGGGCTGGCTATCAGAACACACCAAAAGGGAGAGTCTGTCTCCAAAACAAGGTGGAAAGCAAGGAGCAATACCTTAACTTGTCCTGCAGCCTCCACAGATAGTCCATAGCGTATGGACACATACAACTACATAGTCCATACAGCCCACACAAATCTAAAACAAAATGGCCTATTTATCCTGGCCATGTGGCTTTAATCCCAACATGCAGGAGACAGAAGCAAGAGGATCTCTGAGTCTGAAGCCAACATGGCTTACACACGGAGTCACCCAGTCTCAAAAAAAAAAAATTACCTATATATTTGTGCACCTAATCTTTAACCTTTTATGTCTATTTAACAAAAATATATAACTTATACTGTAAGACAAGAAGAAAATAACAGGATAGTGTGGAAAGAAAAAGTAAGCAACAAAACTCATGTCATATGTTTGAATGGTTAAAAAAAAAGCACAAAAACATGGCAGTAGATTTACTGGAGGAAGAAGACTTTTTGTCATGCAGAAGAAACACCATTTTGACCATATCAGACATGGATACAAAAACTCTAGCATCACCACAAGAAAAACATCAAACAAATTTCAACAAAGAAGTATTCTACAAAAAGCTTGACTCAGATCTGCTCAGATCAACAGAAACATCCAATGGTTACAAACTGACAAAGCTAAGATGAAGCTAGAGGTGTATGGCAACCATAGAAGCAAGGCCATTCCTGGGAGAAGCTTAAAATAACAACAAACAAACAAATAACTAAGTACAGAATACATGAAACTAAGTACAGAATATATGAAAATTCTATTAGCAATATCTTCTTCATTTTCTGTAGATCAAAACCCATTAATAAGAGTGTATAAAATGAAAAAAGAACAAAAGACACCTATGAACACACACAAAGAATCTAGAGACTAAAGACAGAAGTCAGTCTCTACTTAGCTTTCTAGGTATCTCAGCTAACAGCTCTTAAAATATGTACCACTGTCTGCCAAATAGTCACTCTGTACTAAGCCTTGCTCCTGTGAGTCTGCTTAACTGGTCAGGATCAGAGCCTTTGGAGCGTGTATTGTAGTTTCTCCTAATGTTCTTGGGAGAAGCTAAGACCTGCATGTTGTATGGCTTTCCCTGTCAGATCTGATCTCGGGTGATGTTTGAGTGTTCTGGTCAGCAGCCTGTCTGGACCTCCCTGTGAACATTCTCTGGATGTCACAAAGTTTGTCAGGAGGCTCTATGTACTTTTCTTGATTCAGATCCTGATGGCTTTTATTATAAACTCATTTTGTAGATGACATGCCATGTCATTAGTGAATAAAGAGATTCAGCCATTCACTCTGGCCCTCAGCATAAACCTGAACGACGTACTGTTCAACACACTGTAGATTCTTGGGGAAAGCTCTCATCCTAATCACTCTCCAGATTGGAAGTGCTCCCTGCGGGCATGGAGGCCTTCCACTGCTGTCTGTCCCCTTGCTGCCTTGCTCCTAATAAACTGCTGGTGGTGTGGAGGAATCAATAGGCCTGTCAAATTAAGCATGCTGGTATACACAGTGGAGCAATGACATTGTTGTTCCCAGGTCTGGTGCATGCACGCAGTAGGAGTCGGGAGGTTAAATGAAAGCGGTTTTCTGTTGGAAAGCAATGTTGACAGAGCAGATAATCACCTGTCCTGTAACCCCAGGCCATAAAGGCATGGGGGAGGATGACTGAAAAACAGTTTTAAATGCATGTCTTTCTACACCATTCCTGGCTCATCTACGAATGTTTCAAAAGTTCTTTATTACCAGTATAATTCAAGAGCCGAGAGATGAAAAACTGAAAGGTTATGTCATATTTTCAAGAGAGATTTTTCTTAATGCAGGTAATTAAAATCAATTTACCCATTGTTGCTTTGATGATTTTTTTTTGTTTTTTGCTATCTTAATAGTAAAACTCTACCAACTTTCCCTACAATGAATGTTAGAACTACAGCCTTCTTGTAGGCAAAAGGGACAGCAAGCTCTCCTTCCATGTCCCTCCTCAGCCATTTGTGTCCTTCAGCTAGGATGCTGAAGACAGGCTCCAGCTTTGTCTTGCAGAGAGCCTGCCTGCTAGAGGTCCTCACAACACCCCTCTCCATTGGCTGTATGCACCAGCGCACTTTAGCTCCCACATCTGACGGGTTACTTCCTTAGTAGAGATCACCAGTAGTAACGAGTCAATGCCCTGTGTGCAGGGACACTTCATTTATGACAAGAATTTTGAATCACTATGACAACTCATCATGTGCCTGCTGTTTACTAGTCACCACCTGATATTAATTAATTAATTAATATGTATGTGAGTGTAAAGATGAATATGTGAACTAATAAAGTAGTACTTGGTATGCTGAGCAAGAACTCAGGCTTAAAGAATTACTTAAAAGAAATAAATGTTTTAAAGACATGGCCCTGGCTTAAACCAACAAAAAATGTCATGGCTTCAACTTATTCTCTCCACTCAACTCATATGTTGCTGCTAAGGAGCAGGTTTCAGACATCCCTATGAAACTATGCAGAGATTAAAGTAGCCCTATCATAGAGTAATATATACATACACATTGTCAGAGAAACCAGGTCCTACACAGAGATGCAGTGAGCACGGTGGAAATACATTTAAC